TTATATGCTAAGTATGTGTGGTCTTCAAGGTTCGGATTCGACCCCGGCTGGGAGAATGTAGTCTCTAGGTTCGGACTCGACCTTAGGACTGCTGTTAAGTGGTGAACTCAGTCAGGAGAGAGGGTTCCTGGTCATAAATACCGAGCTGTCAACACACATTACACGCCCGGGATCATTTTGCATCGAGGTGCCGAGCTCTGAACTATAGTCCGAGCTTCACCAGGGGGAATGGCTTTTTGGATACGCTGGCCTATTCATTTGCGCCGCGTGTCGTTTCTCGTTTCAGTAACCGAGGGCTGCGCGTTGATGGGTGTGACGGTTATGCAATGATGGCTCCTTTTGTCATAATGGGCCTCATTTATTGCGTGTTCAAGTGTACCCTTTGATTGACACGTGTTATGGCCGTTTGAATTTGAGTAGAACCTTTTCTTCTCCCCGCGCCTCTTTTCTCCTCACTTCTTGCTTCTTCTGGCTTTTCGTGCACGCTTTTATCTCTGTCCTCCATTGTCTTTCCGTTTTCATCTTTTCAGTTTTCACCGTCGTTCCCGGTGACTCAGCTGTTGCTAGGGTAACTTTTCTGAGGAATAGTACCAGGTATTTCCTGCTCCTCTCATTTCTTCCTTCTTCTCCGGGTTTTCGTGGGGTCTGTCTCGTTTCTTCTTCTTCTTATATGGCTGGGGGGAGTGGTGCTGGTTCTTCTGCGCCTGCTAGGGGGAGAGGCAGAGCGCGGGGTAAGGCGGTGGTCACCAGTGAGGCCGCTGCCGCGAAGGTTGATCCTCCCAAGGATCTAGTGCCAGGGGTTCCTGGTTATGATTGGGTCAGGCGCGACGTGGCTGGGGTTGAGAGTGTGTTTCGCTCGCGCGCTGATGTTGACGCCGTTTGGGAAACGGGGCGGGTTTGCGACCCTTCCGTTTCTTCAATGCTCCGGCTTGACCCTTGTCAGGCCGGAGAAGGTGTGTTTATGGGGAAGTCGACTGACTCTCCCCATTTCTATGTGTTTTGGTGCTTCTTCAGGGATCTGGGTGTTCGTCTCCCTTTTACTCAGTTTGAGTGTGATTTCTTGAGTCACATCAATGCGGCTCCCTGTCAGTTGCATCCCAATAATTGGGGTTTTTTGCGGGCTTTCGAGGTTCTTTGTACAGTTTTAGGGATAGAGGTGTCTCTTCCCGTCTTTCTTCATTTTTACCAGCTGAAGCTGGGTGTCCCTCCTTACGGTATTTTGTCACTGAATGGGGGTAAGGGGGGAGGTTTGTTCACCCTCTACTCCCAATCGTATAAAAACTTCAAACAGGAGTTTTTCCGGGTCGCCTTAGTGGATGTCGACCCGAGGGAGGATGCTGCATTCTACTTCGGCGGGTTGCCGAAGTTCCCATTTTATTGGTGCCCCAAACCGTCTATGTTTCATGGGGTGGATCAATCGACGTTGACGGCTGCGGAGTTGGTAGCCATCAAAAATCTTGAGGCGCTTCCTCGGCCGCTGGATTGCAAGTTCATCCTGTCGCTCGAGAGGTCAGCGCACAGGGAGAGGGATCTAGAGAGTGAGTATTTTGCCTTCGGTTGGTCGCTGGATGATTTGTTTTCTTGTTTTTCTTCAAATTTCCCTTTTTTGTTTTGCAGATCATATGGGGAAGTTGTGGAAGGAGCTTAAGCATCGTTACAGAGTTGCTGAGCTCGAGGTTCCCGACCATCCAGAGGAGGAGGCTCCCCTTCACAAAGCTAGCCGGAAGAGGAGGAGGGAGGAGAAAGGGGCTGCTGGCCCTTCTGTCCCTCCGGGTGTCGGCGAGGCGACCTCCCGAACCACCGATGTTAACACGGCGGGCCTCACTGAGAGTTTGCCGTCCCAGGTGGTTGTTGAAGAGGTGGCTCGGAATGCTGAGTCTGCCGTACAGGCTGCCGAGGTAGTGATATCGCTTTTCCAAGTGCCTTTTTTGACTAGGTTGGACTTATTGAGGTTGGTTGGTTCCTTTTGCAGGTCGGGGTGGTTGCTTCCGTAACGGGAGATCAGGTAACTGAGCATGTTGCTCAAGTTGCCGAGGTGGTGAGTTTTCCGTTCTTTAAGCTTTTCGTCTACCCTTTGCTGTAGTGGTTGGTTACCTGACTTTAGGGGGGATTTTTCGCAGGTAGGAAATGTTGCCGGGGTGGTGACACGTGCTGCTGGGGAAGCTCGGACTGCTGAGCCTGCTGTACAGGCTGCCGAGGTAAGTAGTGTTTGTGTACTTTCTTTGGTGACTCTTCCATGGCCCTTGTGTTTGTTTTTGACGTGTGGCTGATTTTTGTAGGCGAGCTCGGGGGTCCCCGTGGTGGACTTGCAGGATGTTGAACAGGGGACGCCGGCTTCTGCTGCGGCTTCGGTGCCCCCGGAGGGTTCGTCGCGGGGTCCTCCTCCGGCTCAGTATTTGGCCCACCGCTTTGGTAAAGGTGTTGACACCGTGCGGTTGGACCATTTGAGGGCCTCCGCGAACTTGAATTCTCTGTGGAGTGCGGGGGTGACCACGGAGAAGTTCTTTCCTCAGGGGTCGCTGAGTTCCGAGGATCAGGGGTTGATTGACGAGGTCGGCCCCGCGAACAGTTTTGATGCTGCCCAAGTTATGCTGCAAAGGGTGATGGGAATAATGGGCCATTGGAAGCCCAAGTGGAGTCAGCAGCAGGAGGTTTTGGCCGGGCAGCAGAAAGAACTGGCCAAGTTGAAGGGGCGACTCCAACCTTGGAAGGAGGCCCACAAGATTTTGATGGAGGAGAATAAGGCCCTTAGTGCTGTCGTTGGCGAGGCGAGGCGGCAGGCGGTCGGGCTCCGTTCTGCCCGTGGTGATCTCGCGCGGGCCCAAAAGTCTCTTGAGATTGCGCTGCGATCCAACGAGGCTTATGCTGCCCAGGTGAGGGAGTTGCAGGAGCTTGCAGCTTTCTCCATAAAACGTGCTCGTTCTTTGGAAGACAAGGTGACGTCTTCCCGCGACGAGGTACGGGTGTTGGAGGATACTGTGACTTCCCTCAAGGGGGAGTTGGCAGCAGCGGCCGAGGAGCGTCTCCGCGGCAAGGTCATTCAGGGTGGCTATGAGGATGAAATTGCTACCTTGAAGGCGGAGCTGTCCGAGCTGACTGAGGGCAAGGCGGCCGTGGAGAGGAGACTTGCCGAGGTTGAGCGCTCCGTCGTGGTTGAGCATAGGAGGGGCTTCCAAAAGGCTGCTCGCCAGGCCCGACTTGTTGCGCCCGGATTCGATTTTTCTTCCATGCATGTGGAGAAAACCGTCCGCTTTGGGAGGTTGATTCGGGAGGACGACGCCGATGACAGCTCTAGTGAGGGTGCTTCTGTTTAGGCTGCCCTTGTAATTTTCTGTTTGATTTTTTCATTGGGCTCATGTAATGAATTTTTGAATGCTACTTATATGTATATATTTTTCTCTACCTTGTCCCCTTTTGCGTTTAATTCCGGGTGTTCGCGCTGTTTGAGGTACACGTTTGTTGCCTGTGTGTGTATTTTTGCATGTGATTATGCTTCTGAGACAAATTTCGCTTGGGAGTTCGATCTTAACCTTAGGCGGATATCGATCTCAACCGTGGAGAGGTTCGCGTTTGACTTCGGGTTTAGACTAAGTAATTATTGTGTAGGTTTGCGGTTAGTCCTACATGGGAGTCATTGTTTGGGTCTCACTTGATGTTGACCGTGTTTTAGGTCTTTCTTGATTTCGTTTTTGGGCTTGGGAGGAGCGATCTCGTGTGAGGATTGCTCGCAATTCTGACTGAGTAAGTGCGTCGCGGTTTATTTCTAACCTTGCGGACCTAACGAGGTTCAGGTTTGACCTCGGGTAGGTTTGTAAGGTTCGTATTCGATCCTACGAAACTGGCGAGGTTCAGACTTGACCTCGGAAAAGTTTGTAAGGTTGGTTTTTCGATCCTGGGAGTCCTGCGAGGTTCAGGTTTGACCTCGGGTAGGTTTGTAAGGTTCGTATTCGACCCTACGAAACTTGCAAGGTTCAGACTTGACCTCGGATAATCATGTAAGGTTCGTATTCAGCCTTATGAAACTGGCGAGGTTCAGACTTGATCTCGGAAAAGTTGGTAAGGTTCGTATTCGACCTTATGAAACTGGCGAGGTTCAGACTTGACCTCGGAAATGCTAGTAAGGTTCGTTTTCGACCCTACGAATTCTGCGAGGTTCAGACTTGACCTCGGAAAAGTTGGTAAGGTTCGTATTCGACCTTATGAAACTGGCGAGGTTCAGACTTGACCTCGGAAATGCTAGTAAGGTTCGTTTTCGACCCTACGAATTCTGCGAGGTTCAGACTTGACCTCGGAAAAGTTGGTAAGGTTCGTATTCGACCTTATGAAACTGGCGAGGTTCAGACTTGACCTCGGAAATGCTAGTAAGGTTCGTTTTCGACCCTACGAATTCTGCGAGGTTCAGACTTGACCTCGGAAAAGTTGGTAAGGTTCGTATTCGACCTTATGAAACTGGCGAGGTTCAGACTTGACCTCGGAAATGCTAGTAAGGTTCGTTTTCGACCCTACGAATTCTGCGAGGTTCAGACTTGACCTCGGAAAAGTTGGTAAGGTTCGTATTCGACCTTATGAAACTGGCGAGGTTCAGACTTGACCTCGGAAATGCTAGTAAGGTTCGTTTTCGACCCTACGAATTCTGCGAGGTTCAGACTTGACCTCGGAAAAGTTGGTAAGGTTCGTTTTCGACCCTACGAATCCTGCGAGGTTCAGACTTGACCTCGGAAAAGTTGGTAAGGTTCGTATTCGACCTTATGAAACTGGCGAGGTTCATACTTGACCTCGGAAATGCTGGTAAGTGTAGGCCTTTGGAGTACGTGATTTCGTTTATGCAAGAGCGATGGAAGAGGTAATTTTGTGCGAAACGCGTAATTAGGTAATTTTGTGCGAAACGCGTAATTTTATTGATAGTTTTGTGTGCCTCGTTAAAAACCCTCTTGGTCGAGGACCAAGGCGGGAAAAGAGTGCACAATATATGCGTACTGAAAATAAAGAAGTGCTAAAATTTAAATGTCTAAAGTGGGGGAATTCCCCTTGTTTTGCTTGCTTGGAGTAGAGATTCTCAGGCTTGCGGCGTAGCATTGCCGAGCTGTCTTTTGGTTAGCCTTGACTGAAATGACTTTGCCGTCCTTCCCTGGAAACTTCATAGTGAGGTGTGGAGTTGAGACGACTGCTCCGAGTTGGTTCAGAGTCGGTCGCCCGATGATGATGTTGTAGGAAGTGTTGGCTTCCACGAGGAGGTACCTAACCATGACTCGTCTTGTATCTGGTGGCGTTCCGAAGGTCGTCAGCAAGTCTACGTACCCCCGGGTGTGGACTCGCTCTCCTACGAACCCGACTAGAAGCTCCGTGTGAGGTTGAATGAGAGAGTGGGGGACGTCTAGTTTTAGGAAAGTTGGCCAATACAGGACATCAGCCGACCTTCCCTGGTCAATCAGTGTTTTTTGTACTTTCCAGTTGGCTATTTCCACAACGATGACCATGGGGTCGTCCTGGTTAGGGGCGAGGTCGGCGTAGTCTTCGTCGGAGAAAGAAATCGGTGGTGAACTTTGGTGCGGAGCTGAGGTGGTGGGGTGAACGCAGTTGACGTTCCGCAAGTGTCTTTTTCGGGCAGAGCTGCTGGCGCCTCCTCCAGCGAAGCCGCCTGCTATTGTGTTGATGACTCCCCTCAACGGGGTGGATTCCGTCTCCTGGCTTATCTCGGCTTGCACTGCACCACCAGCGTTTTGTTGGGGACCCGAGGGTGCATCGGTGTGGGTTCCTGAACCTCGTCTCCTTCCGCGTCCCCGACCTCCATGGCTATTTCTACCACCCTGTTGTCGCTGTACGTACTGGCCGAGGTGACCCGCTTGAATGAGCTCCTCGATGCGGTCTCGGAGCGTGCGACATTCCTCCGTGGTGTGACCATGATTTCTATGGTATCGGCAGTGCTTGGATGTGTCAGCGTTGTTGGGGGTATTGCCTGGTGGTGGAAGGGCGAGCAAGTTGTTGTTGTTGGCTTCCTCTAGGATGTGCACCCTAGGTGCGTTTAGGGGGGTGTAGAAGTCGTACCTCCCTCCTCTGCTTGCTCTAATGGATTTTTTGAAATGGCTGTCGTTGTTGACCTTGACCTTGTCTTTGTGCCCTTGCTCTGGTTTTGCTGGGGTTTCTCCGCGAATCTGGTCGCGGAAAGCGGAGTGTTCCTCCATCTGGATGTATCCAGCTGCGTGGGCGCAGAGTTCATCCATGTCGCGGGGGGCGTCGCGGCATAGGCTATCGACGAAAGGCCCGGGTTTGAGTGCCATGAGCATGGCGTGTAGGGCGACCTCGGGGTTCAAGTTTCGTATCCTCACCGAGATGCTGGAGAAGCGTTCCATGAAGCTTCGTAGGGGCTCGTCGTCGTTCTGTCGGAGGTTGGCCAAGGCGGCCGAGGTAGTATGATGGGGTCGACAGGTGGCGTACTGTGCCAAGAATCGCCTTACCAATGTGTTGAAGCTGTCGATGGACCCGGCAGGGAGTTGGGTGTACCAATGAAGTGCCGCTCCCTTAAGTGAGATCGGAAAAACCCTACACAGTATAGCATCACTGTTAGTGTAGAGGTTTACCTGGGTTGTATACGAATCAATATGTTCGTCGGGGTCAGTTGTGTCGTCGTAGCGGTCAAGGTGGAGGGGTTTCCATCCGCGAGGTAGCGGAGTCTTCATGATGCCGTCCACGAAAGGGTGACGGCGGAAAGGTTCTTGGCCTTCGAAAGCATGGGTGGCGGCCTTGCTGGTGTCCTGCCCTGACTTATACGTCGGGGCGTGAGATCGATGCGTGGTGGGCCGCGAGGTTGGTGCCTTGGTCGTTGCCCGAGATTGGGTGGCTGAATGTGCCTCTTCCTCGCGTGTGTTGCTCTCGCGGGGAGGCTGGTTGGAGTGGTGTCGAGGAAGCTTAGAGCGGATATGCTCGTTTTCAGCACGTAAGGCTGCGAGTTCTGCTTCATTGGCTGCTTGCATAGCCGCGAGATCGTTTGCATGCTGAGCGCGCATGTTCTGGAGGTCGGCATCGTGCTGTTGTCGCATCTAGATCCCATAACCTCTATTTCCCTCTCTCAAAACCTATAATACATTGTTTGATGTCATTATTAAAAAAATCAACAGAGCAAAAGGAATAAGAAAAGTGAGAGTACAGGAAATAGGTGCAACTCACAACATCACTGAAAGCTAAATATTACCTTAAATGCATCTTCGTCTGTCCGATCATCTCCAATATATATAGGAAGCACATCATCACAATTGTTTAGCCCTAAATCACAATATTCTAAAGTCAATTACTGCAAAACAATGAACCGTGATCTTTAAAGAAAGTAACCATTTTAATGAACTCACCAAGTGACTCAAGTAAAAAGGTGACAGCTTTTCCCTTATCCCAGTTAATCACAGGTCGGACCTCTAAAACCTGAGAAATAGTAAGCAGAAATTATAAACAACAAATCCTCTTTTTTAAGAATTCATCCGTTGAATCTCCTTAAAAATGCATCAAAAGGTTGGCTTTGGCTCTAAAATCAGTACCTTCCGCCCGTGAGTTAAGCGCAAACGCGGATAGTCTTTAAGAACATCATGAACACGTTGCCCCACCAAATCCCAACTCTGTATTATTAAATTGAAAACAAAAATGTTACAAACATTGCAGGTAACAAGTTTGGAAAAATGCAAAACCAACTTAGAAGAAAACTATTAAGCATGAGAATAAAAGCTTATATACCTTTTCTTCTACATTCCGGTAGTGAACAGATACACAAAATTTATTGTTCTCAACTTTAGCTCCTTTAATGTCTTTCGTACACTCTTGAAGAGACTTCAATACCTGCCCAAACATGAGCCAATCAGGATAACAAGTTCCAATGAAGAAAAAACATTGATGCCATTTTTTAAAAGCCTACCTCATTAATCATGGGCAGAAATTCAGCAGCAGGTTGGAATAAATTTACTTCCGTACCCTGTAAATTTAAAAAACATAACAGATGCCATTTAATAAAACACATGAGGAGTATGGAAAGTGAGAGATTCGTATAATAGAAGACAGATACAAATTTTCAACAAGTACCTGCTTGTCTGTAGACCTAATGCAATTTGGGTGATTATCAGATACAGATTGTCTAACAGGGCCAATAATGTCCATACCATGACTACCAGCGTAATAGAGTTCAGTTAGTCCTACAAATTGATATACCTGAGCCAACAAGGGTAATAAAAAGTTAGAACCAGCAACTGACAAGAAAGGTTCTTGAAAGCATGAGTGTAAATAGTTGTGTCCAAGTAGATAAGGAAATTAAGAAGATAAAGAAAATTGTCTGTGTTTTATAAAAATTGTTCAACTACCTTGTCACGACTTCTTCCACTAATTATTGCTGTTGGAAAATATTCTGCCACCTTTTTAACGGCGGTGCGCATCTGCATAGTTTACAGAATCATAATTAGCTCAAGAAGAGTAACAAAAGAATAAAATCCAATTGCTGTTAAGGATAGTTAACCCAAGGAGAGTACCACATACATTGTCAGACATGAAAGCGCAGTCAGGATTATCTACAATCGGTGAAAGAGTGCCATCATAATCCATAAACAACGCAATTCTTTTCCCTTTTGCATAGTTTGTGATTTGATCAAAAGATGTAAGAGCTGATGGGTATTTAAGCTGTGAAATTAACACGAATGAAAAAAGAAAGAGCATAAATAACCCCCTTAAAATTTGGAAATTTAGAAACTAACAAGGGAAGTATCTAATACCAGCCAGCTAAAATAAGAACCAGCAGTATCAGCATCGGAAGATGCAAACCCATGGCTAACATCCTTTGCTATCTTCCTGGGAGGAGGTGAAGATGATTTCATGGCATCCAACCAACCACTACAACGAACATCTTCAAGAATTCCTGTCTTCTTCCTCGGGATAGTCAATAACATTCCATGTGTAAAGGTTGCCCCAGTATGAGAGTAAGGCAACAAACTGGAATGCACACCCAGTCTAGACTTTGTAACAGGTGCACTATCAGTGAGAACAGGAGTATGATTCGACTTCAAGTCCATGGGATCCAGGTTTGTAAACCAGCTTACAGTCCAGCAACAATGTAAGAACTTTAAAAAGTATCGTGATCCATCCGAGGTAAATCTCATTTTTAACTGAGTTCATATATTTTGTTTGAAATTTTTCTTGTAGCTACTTGTTCATTAGGTGGTCTAATTCGTTGGTATTATTTTTGCATGTTCCATTCCTATGGCGTGGTGTACTCTAATGTAAACTGTGACAGTAATAAGGTTGAGGTATTCAAATATTTATATTTATTGTGTTAAAATTAAAATACCTCTTAATGGACCCAATGACAATTGTTGTAGGGGTGGGTGCCACAGACCACCCTTGGTAGGGTTCACCTAGTGAGTGTGGTGGTGGGGCCGCCACTGTGAGATATGGACAATCTCTAAGTGATACTCACGAAACAAGATACATGAGCAAGGCCGTAATGCGCTCCACTGATTAGAACTCAAATGAACACCTTTATTATACATGTTATGTTCTAAAGTTTGGTTAAAGGGATATGGCTCAAGACAATTATGTCTCCATATTCTCTCAAATGGAAGTTCATATGCACTAGGTATAAGGCTCATACCCGGAAGGTTCCTTGTACTGAAAATATAATATATCATGCTCCATTAAAAATATTTAAGTTTATATGTATATATATATATATATCATTTTTTTCTATATTTAAATTTTAAATTAGTGGGGGATTATTGTTGGAAAAATAAATTTAATAGAGCACAATAAAAACAAATATTTAGATTTATCAATAAAACCAATAGCAACAACACAATGAATATTATGAAATTAAAACAGAGCAATCAGTAACAACTAATTAAATACAAAGAGTAAATAAAATCATTAGATAATGAGTTTAGAGTAGCCTGGGTTGAAGCACGCAGAGCGCTATCCTTAGAGAGAAAACGCCCCCACTGCACTGGTAATTTTGAGCCTTATGGTGCGCTCCTCTCCCAAGATACGTCAACCCGTTAGACCATTCGAGTGCAGCGAAAGATCCCCGAACTAAAGAACACCGCTCCAAAATTATAATTTAATTGTAGAAATAAGATTGAGTGAGAAATAAAGTAAGCTTGTTGTGTAATTTTCAATGTGTCGAGAACTGCCTTTTTTCTCACGTAGTGAACTGTGTCTATGTGTACACTATTAGTGTATTATATACATAACGAAGAGTGCATCATCATGCCTCATTTTTCGGTAACAGCAAAAACGTGGATACATATTTGCTAACCAATTTGAAAGCAAAAAACATTACGTGGTCAGGAAGAGAATAAAAACAAAACTGTACAATATCCTCCGTTTTGAAATGTTAAAAAGAAAATAATTATATTAAATATTTAATTTAAATTTTAAATTATAAAATAATTTTTTAACATATACTACCCGCTCAGTGTAAAAGGGGAAAAAGTTATAAAGGTGAGTTTGACACGTTGATGTTGCATATTTCTATGTCATTTATTTAATAAAAAAAAAGTCTCACTTTGATTAGGGAACTTAAGGTAAGGAAATTAAGTTTCTTTATATATTAAAGCATTTTTTAATACATTTAAAGAGGTAGGTAAGTAAAGGATGTTAGATTTGCATCTATGAGAACAGGTCTTCTTGTGAGTCCATTTGTAGTTTAAATATATCTATTTATCTCACTTATGTAAAAAAATAGAATTTAAAAATATTTTTATTTTTTATTACATTATGAGACAATCTTGATGTGTCTTAGAGGTTTGTGCATATCTATCTTTAAGGTTAATATCATCACACATCTTAAAAAAAGTTATCTAATGTGTTGATTGATTGAAATTTGAAATTATGAAAAATCATAAATAAGAATTTTGATTTTCTATATTTTTTATCATGATAATAGTGTGAAGTATTTATGAATTTTGTTCATCAATAAAGTTCAAGCTGGCTCGTTTTTCCACCCCTACCACTAGGGATGATAATAAACTCGTAGATATTGGTGATGTTTGAATCCATATTGACTTTGAGAGGAAATATTCAATTTAATTGAGCATGGGTAATACCCAGTTCATTATAGAGTCTTTTATCTATTTTTAGGAAAGTCCACCTATACATGACATACCCTTGAAAGCTAAGGGTAGTTAAGGGAAGTTTCCTCTCTTCACTCACTTGGTGGCAAGTGGAGAGTTGTTCTACTTTCATTTCTCGTCCAAGTAAGTCTCTACATCAAATTTACCATGGAAGTATGAGAGATTCACCTTGGATTTCCTAACTCTAGGTTCCCTTTCATTTCTAGACTTATGTTTTCTTGGTTAGTTTTGGTAGTACTCGTTTATGCTGAGACTACCACTTTGATTACACATGCTTTTGGAAGAACCATTAGAAGATCCATTGCCATGTTTCTTTCTATATTTTTCTTTTAAAAGCATCTTTTTTCTTTTATCTTTCTAAGCTTTGTTTCTAGCTTAGCATTCATTTCTTATTTCTCTTTTCTTTATTTTTTTCTACCCTTTCATCTTCTCTCCATAATTTAAGTGCTTTTAGTCCAACCATTAGTTTTGAAAGACTTGGTGTTGAACTAGAACCACTACCACTATGTGAGCTTATGTGTGAGTGCTTACTCATGATGTAATGTAAAGGTTGAGGTATAAGGTTTTTTTTATCCTAAATGTTTTAAGGCAAACTAAAGTGTTAAATAAGTCTTAGAAACATCTTAATACTCTTAGCATGCAAAACAAAGAAAATAACAAAAAAATATATATAAACAAAAGAAATATGCAACTAGATGTGTCCTATGTGAAAGTTGGGTGGATACTTATGAATCACTCAACACACTATTGAGATTTCCATTGAAATTAACTTTTGTTCTTATCATAAATTGTTTTAACTCTGACAACGAACTCAAACACGACAAGTATACCGGCTGTTCAAGTAGTAAATTTAAATCATCTCCACAGGGACTAGTTAGGTAAAACAAGCATTTAATGACTATTTTTGACTAAAAAATAATTCCAATTTTTCATAGATTGTCATGCATTTGAAGTAAAGATTATGACTATTGGAATTTTAAAACCTATAAAACTATTTTTGTGTGTGTGTGGAAGGGATAGAAATGGTATTGTGATTTTGTAAAATTGTGGGGTTAGATATCACCAAACTTCACATTGATCAATCTTTGTTCTCTTGTTACATTCATTGCTTAGTCAACCCATAAGTTTACTCAAACCTAATCCCTTAGAGCAAGAGCCTAGGTGCAAGTAATGAATACCAATTCCTTGAGTATCCAATACATACACCTGCATTATGGGTTACGGTTTAAGACTACTAATGGGCCAAGCTCCATTCCTAAATACATTTCCCACTAGGCATTTGTTTCAGAGCTAGTTTCAAAGGTTATTTTCCCATACCCAATGGACTCTATATCAAGCAAAGGAGAATCAATTCAAAGCAAGCATTAAGAATAGAAACATAATACAACAATGAATGAACAAAATATATATATATATATATATATATATATATATATCATTAATAACTTGAAGATTACATAAGAGTTTCGTTGGTTACATCTAACCTCACAAAATAATGGGTAAAACCACTCAAAACAATGAGGGTGAAACCAAAATAAAGATGGAAGAACCAAAGGAAAGACACATAAACGAACGGTCCCAAGCACCAGAAATTCCTTCCAAAATTCCTAGAAGTCGTCCAATGTGTGAATGAGGCGAAAAAGCCTCGAAGCTTTGCTCAAATACAAACTGGTCAAGTCAGGATAAGGTTTACACGCCCAACGCATTATACCTCGCGCCCGGCGCAGGGTCTTCCAGAGAGGTAATCACTCTCTGTCTCGAATCACGCCCGACGCGGATAGGCTAAGCCCTGCGCAATGTCTTCCAGAAAGTTTTGAATGCTCTCTATTTCTCAAGCCCGGCGGTGGTAGTATGCGCCCAACGTGATATTACTTCTCCTGCTCCTTTTCTTTTTTAATTTCCAATCCAATGGATTTTCAACTTCAACCCTTCACTCAATATCTGCACAAAAATTGAATCAAAAAGAGAACAATTAATTTGCAAGAGTGCATGGGGTGAGTGGAATTGTTCAATAATTCCTATATAAAATTATGTATAAATGAGACTTAACACACACTTCCACAAATACTACACAAAAATTACTTAACATAATACAAAAAACAAAATGGAAGTTTTTAGTAGACACTTAGAACCTTTCAAAATCACTTCTAAGTGGAAAGGCTTCTACAAGAAAAATGAAAGAAAATTGAACTCCTAAACTATTACAATCTTAAAAGGTCTAAGACTTCTCCTACATAATGAACAAACTCATTAGCGTAGCAAATTTTCTTTATTGTTTGGCCACTCTTTTGGTGTTTGGTCTTCAAGTATCTCCAAAGAGAGTCTTCACCAAAGAGTAAGTCCTCCTAGGCTTTCATCGACATTCCAAGCCACTACCCTATAGCAAGGTTCTTGGATTATCCTTCACTTGAAGATTTAGCGCAAAAAATAACACTAAAAGAGGACAAAAAAGAAAAGCTAAATTAAGAAATAGCAAAATTGAAAAAGAATTGATGTTGACAAACTCAAAGAATTTCTTGAATTGACAAGTTAAAATTAAGATAAATTTAAAGACTAGAACTCAAAGAAATATTCCTAAGAATGGAACTAGATTGAACTACAAAATCAAGAAAAAAAAAATCACTCAAGCTTACTTCATATCATGAAATGCAACTTTAAGTGGTGAAATATGTGATAAAACATTTTTAATATTTTTGCAAAAGTTTCTTTATAAAAGTTCCACCAAGTTTTTTTTTATCAAAACTAACACTTTTTCCTTTTCTTTTGGAGCAATATGTGACTTTTTTTTAATCAAATATTTGTTCTAAGATTCCAAAAAAAAAAAATAGAACTCAAAATCTCATAAAAAGCAAACTACTCAAAATTTGAACTAGAATTGGTGAATTTTTGTTTTTTCTTTGTGTTTGCTTTTTAGACCAAATAATTTGCACAACTAATCATGTCCAATTTGCAGTATTACTATAAAATTTGAATTTAAAATTCATTTCACCAAATAAAATT